CTGGCAGGGTATGTTCACTTGCCGAGAAACCATGCAACACTGCCTGAGAATGCATGAGGGAGGCGGCTTTGTCTGTACGCTGGGCACTGGATGTTCCATACCATCAACGAAAAATGGAACCAAAATGTCGAATAAAAATGGAGATGGACAAAAAGGGAGGGTCCACTGTACATATGTATAATCTCTCCTCCGCTCCAATGAGTACATGTTCAACACTTGAAGGCATTCCCAGTAATTTAGGTGCTTTACTGGCTCGATGCCAGCCGTAAATGATCTCTGTACAGTGGACCTCCAGATTAAGACTTCATCAATTAAGTAATAATCTGATTAAGTAACGTTTTTTGTGTCAAAATATTGGCTCGGTTAATGACGCTGAACTCATCATTCGTCCTGAACATGTCCACGGTGCCGTAAGCGGCCCAGACACCGTGTACAGCCAGTGTGCCATTGTTTACCAGCCAGTGAGGATGATTCCACGTGTATATGCGATACATTTGTATTCCATTGTTTTTAATACTTGTAACTGCTAAATAAGCCACCATGGGCCCAAAGAAAGCTTCTAGTGCCAGCCCTAGCACTTGTGGCTTAGCGCTTCTTTTGATTATAATAATAATAGTGCCAGCCGTTTGGTAAAGAGGTGAGAAACACTATAGAATTCAAGAATAAGTTTTGTAGAAAGATATGAAAGTGTGGTGGTAGAGGGTGGTAGTGATGGTGGTACACCAGCCAGGGTACTTCCCCACACACATGATTTGATTTGAGTGGGACTTGCACATGAGTGAACAGAATCATCAAAGCTTATTGCTTGGGAAGCATTGAAAATTGGGTTGGGCAAATACGATTCTGTTAGTGGGATGGTTTGTGAAGGACCTGCCTAGTTTGGGCCAACAGGCCTGCTGTAGTGTTCCTGCTTTCTTCTGTGCAAACATGGATGAACATCACCCTGACACAGCTGTTGCAGGCCATGCTGGCAACATCTACAGTCACAATGTTGTGTCTCATTTTAGGGAAATCTTAGAGATGAAAAAACAGAGCTTTCTGGACAGATATTTAGTGCCACAGGTGTGCAGTGACTCAAGACTCTAGTGTCATTAAAAAATGAAGGGAAGTAACCCCAGAAAAGGACTTGGTACCTGAAGTCTTTATGGAAGGGGATTCCCCTTCCAAACAATAGTACACCTCCATCCTCTCCCCTCCTCCCGTCTCATCAGTCGTCAATAAGTCTTTAATAAAGGTAAGTGTCATTTTAGTAATGTTTTACTCTACATGTCTCATTGTTTTCTGTGTAGGGAAATGTATATTTCATGTAAAAAATTATTTTGTTTAATACTTTTGGGTGTCTGGAACGGATTAATTGAATTTCCATTATTTCTTATGGGAAAATTAATTCGGATTAAGTCAGATTCGGTATAAGACACTCTCTCTGGTACGAATTAATTACGTTATCTGGGGGTCCACTGTATTTGTTCCTGGTCTGATATTTCTCCTGCTTTGAATGGGGCCGTCAGCACTGAGTAATATTCTAATTGAGGGAGCACTAGCGATTTGAAGTGTCACCATTGGCATTATTTCCCTTGTTTTGAAAGTTCTCAATACCCACCTAGTCATCATCCTGGCTGTCGTGATCTTTGTCTTGTTATGTTCCTTAAAAGAAAGGTCAGCTGACATAATTATTCCTAGGTCTTTAACGTGTTCCTTTCGTTCTATTTGGTGACCCTCTTGAGTTTTGTATATAGTGTTCCCTTTGTTCCTTGTAGGATTAGTGCTTCTTTTTGATTATAATAATAATAATACTTCCCCCACATCTTATTGTACAAAGTTTGATAGGATTTCGGTTGTCATTTCTGGAGAGCTTTCACACTGTTTGAAATGAATGAGGTGGTGTACATGATTGCAATGTGTGATTAGAGTAGTACTGCATATAACTGCTGCCCTGCTGATGCTGGGCCACCTTACCTTGAGGGCATGATTTGACTGGCTGAAAACCCAGCATCCCCTTCCCTACTCCATCCCTTGGCTTGAATAGCAGGGTCTCCCCCCCCCCCCCTTCCTTCCATTCTGAACTTGCTCATGCTCATGACTTGGAACAATTTATGGACATGGATAATGGATTGTGGAAAGTGGATTTTGAGTAGTTTTTACTTGAGCTGTGATTATGATTTAGGTATGTGTAAGTGAATTGGTTATGACAGTAGACCCCTCAAGGAAGGTTCCTTGATGCTGGTGAAGGGCTCTTGACCTAGGAAATTGGATCTGTGCTCCAGTTGCCTGAATTAAGCCTGAATACCTTCCACATCCCCTCCCCACAGGCGGTGTATAATCTTACTTGTTTAGCGCTTCCCCCTTGATTAAAATAATAATAATACGACAGTAGAAAGTTGGTAACGATAGTGTAAATTTGATAATGTTCGTAAGTGGATATGTTAAGTGTTGAACAGTCAACTGGTTCTAGTGATTGGTAATAAGTTAAAACAGCATATAATTGCTGCAGAAATGCTGGCTGACTAGTAAATGTTATTGGACTGCTTTATTTGGAAACAACCAGCTTATCCTACTCTGAGGATTTTGTAACCTTGGTGCACATTGCATAGCATGAGAATACAGTTGAAAGTACATTAAAGAAAGAGAGCCCAAGTTTGTAGCAGATTCATTGACCTCTGGGCATGGAAGAGGGTAAGAACAAATGAGTCATCTGAACTTATGAAGGAGGGAGGGAAGAGTATGATATGCAGTTAACATAGAAGGGTAAATTAAGATACTGCCAGATTTACTTCAAACTTTCAAAGTTGGTATGTCTTACTTAATGGAAGGCTTGAAGTTGTTTGCCATTTTTCTTGAAATTGGGATATCAGTTTCCATGAAATATCTTGTGAATACTTCTTCTGATTGGTTTCAGATCTAACATGCTGACACCTAACTGCATTAGAAACTTATGTACCTCAATGTATGCATTGAGGTAGAGGGGCTGGGGCTTATATACTACTACTCAATAGATTGTCTATTAAGGATTAAGATCAGCTATATTCAACACGTGTGGGTTATGCACCATCTGAAGGATTATAATAGCTGACCTAAAATTGAATATAACAGTAACTGTACTTTCATGTAAGGTTCTATACCCATGTGGGTCATTCAGCACCTAGCTCCCCTCAAGGGAGGTTCCTTGACGCTGGTGAGGGGCTCTTGAATCTAGGGAATTGGATCTGTGCTCCGGTTCCCTGAACCGAGCCTGAATACCTTCCATCGCCCCCACATGCACTGTATAATCCTACGGGTTTAGCGCTCCCCCCATGATTATAATAATAATAATCAGTACCTAGCAGTAGTAACAAACATGACAGAAGATGAGAAAATAAGACTTGGAGATGACCTGGTACTGTGAATTAATATACTGTTATAAAAAAACAGCTCTTAAGCTGAAGGCATGTTCGTTGAAGACAATTGTCCATTTAATCCGAGTGATTAGATTATTTTTCATGATCACAATAACAATTCTGTTTTGTTAAATCTAAAATCAATTTTCCCAGCAGACTGTGATGTATAACCCTTGTGGTTTAGCACTTCTTTATTATTATAATAATCCCAGCAGACTGTAACAATAATGGACAACTCTGGATTTAACAGACATTTATCTACTGTCCAGCCATATATTTGTCCATTGAATCCAAAATCCGTTAAACTGAGGTATTGCCGTAATATTCAAACGGTTTCAGTATAGGGAAAGAATGGACAAAGGATAAATAAACAGATAAAATTGCTTGGTTTTGATCTATTTCCACATCTTACTGTACAAAAAATACTGTGGTATAAACCTTGGTAATAAATACCGACAAGTTGGTTTAGAAAGACACGTAAGCAAACACTATGACATATTTATTAGAAAACGTTTCGGTCCTGGAACCTTGATCACTTCTAACATACAGAGGTAGAAAGACATTATACAGTGGTCCCTCACATTTCGTAGTTCTCGGCAATCGTAAATTTCGCCAATCATAGGGGTATTTTCGTATAAACATGGACTCGCTTTTCATAGGTTGACTCGCGAATAGTAGTTCGTCCAGGACGCGTACGCACGGTGTGAGCCAAGGCGGCCTCCCTACCCAGCCAGCCTGGCATCGTTTACCAGTGAGTGAAGGTCCCCTCAAGTGCTCCTATGAAATATTTCATAATATTCCACTCATTTTAGTGCTTGCAAGTACTAAATAAGCTACCATGGCTCCAAAGAAAGCTCCTAGTGCCAAGCCTGTGGTAAAGAAGGTGAGAAATATGTACAGTGACAAAGTCTTGGGCCATTTTAGGGAAGTGTTAAAGAGATGCCAGAAACAGAGCTCTCTCCACAGTTACTTTGCGAGACAGGACTAGAGCGACTCTCAAGGTGGTCCTAGTGGCATTAAGAAACAGTGAAGAGAAGCAACCCCAGAGAAGCAATTGGTACCTGAGGTGTTGCTGGAAGGGGATTCCCCTTCCAAACTGTAAACAATCCAATCTCTCTCCTCCTCCAGTCTCCCATACACTAAGAATCATCTCCAATAAAGGTAAGTGTTATGCTGTTAATGTTTCATTCATCATTTCCCACTGTATTGTTTATGTACTACATGTATATTTCATGTAAAAATTTTTTTTGTTTTAATACTTATTTCTTATGGGGAAAATTGATTCGCAAATCGTAAATTTCGTTTATAGTAGCTCCTCCAGGAACGGATTAATTACGAAAAACGAGGGACCACTGTATATATAGGCGGAGAGTGAGGTGTGAGTGACGCACGTGACCTGAGGAATGTCAGAATGGAGGAACACTGCAGAAGGCCTACTGGCCCATGCGAGGCAGGTCCTTATAAAAAACAACCTCTACCTATGATGAGGATGGGTAGACGATGAAATCATGTGACTCCTGTGTTGTTGGGTTGGTGGTGCTTAAGTATCATGTATGCCAATGTTTTTGAAATTTTGTAGTTCCCAGTGTTGCGTTCTCTAGTGTCGGTGACGGCGATCAGTGAGGCTTCTAGGCACCGTCGGCATCTGAGGTCTGGTTCGGTGAGAACAAGTTGTGCCTCATTCCAGTTCATCAAATGCCCCATGGAGTCTCTGTGGAGGACACAGGCGTACCTTACATCGTCTTTGATAGATGATGTGTTTATGGTGGAAACGTTGATGTTACTCAGCAAGTGCCCGGCGAGTATTCGTGGCAACATCACCACATGGGAGTACTATGAACTGCTTAGCGGGCTGTTCCATGGGCGGTTTGTTGAGGATAGCTTGTGCCTTGAGTCTGCAGTCTCGGATGAAGAAAGATGGGAACTGAAGACGTGTAAAGGCTTGTGTTATGTAAGTGCATTCTTCGTCTAGAAAACAAGGGCTGGAGATGCGAAGAGCTCTCAAGAAGAAGCCAATGAGGACTCCTCTCTTAGTGCGGGTGTCTTGGTGTGAATAAAAGTGTATAAGATCATCCTTGTTGGTAGGTGTTCAATACATTTTGAAGAGAAGTTTGTCACTGTCGGGAGATCTGCACAGTAGAACGTCGAGGAAAGGAAGTTTGCCATCATTTTCGAGTTCAAGTGTAAACTTTATTGATGGTTCAACTGCATTGATCTTGTTGAGAAGGGCCTGGATATTGCTATGAGTAACATCAACGTTTCCACCATAAACACATCATCTATCAAAGACCTCACTACGAAACGCAGCCCCACACCTCTAACTTCTACAGCAGGCGTCTACACTATCCCCTGTGGGTTCTGTCCCAAGAAATATGTAGGTGAGACAGGCAGAGATCTTGCAGTCCGCCTGAATGAGCATCGAAATGCCTCTAACAGAGACGATGTAAGGTACGCCTGTGTCCTCCACAGAGACTCCATGGGGCATTTGATGAACTGGAATGAGGCACAACTCGTTCTCACCGAACCAGACCTCAGATGCCGATGGTGCCTAGAAGCCTCACTGATCGCCGTCACCGACACTATAGAACGCAACACTGGAAACTACAAAATTTCAAAAACATTGGCATACATGATACTTAAGCACCACCAACCCAGCAACACAGGAGTCACACGATTTCATCGTCTACCCGTCCTCATCATAGGTAGAGGTTGTTTTTGATAAGGACCTGCCTCGCATGGGCCAGTAGGCCTTCTGCAGTGTTCCTCCATTCTTATGTTCTTATGACATTCCTCAGGTCACGTGCATCACTCACACCTCACTCTCCGCCTATATATATAATGTCTTTCTACCTCTGTATGTTAGAAGTGATCAAGGTCCCAGGACCGAAACGTTTTCTAATAAATATATCATAGTGTTTGCTTACATGTCTTTCTAAACCAAAAAATACTGTACATTCAAAACAGCAGGATAAATGTAAAATTTTGTTTGTATATCATATAGTAAAAGTGAAAATTCCAATTTTAATCTCCATATAACATTGAAAATACAGTCAAACGAGCATTGTCATCCATATCTTTTTTGATCTTATGAAACACTTTTTCTGCTAGATGTTTATGCTTTGCTTTTTTATAAATAATTAGTTCTCCATACAAGTACACACCCATCGATTGGTCCTCCAATAAGAATCTTTCAACTTCATTTAAGTCTTTATAATTGTTCTTGATGACCAACTCACACCATCTGTGACGAACATCTCCACACTGAGATCCAATGTTGTAATGCTCATTTATTTCACCCAAAGTCTTATGACTCATCTTTGGTAGTTGCAATAAATACTCAAAGAGTAATACCAATTGGTCTGGGAAAATAAATTCTTCAATATGTACCTTAGTCTTCTTTATGATTTGGCTTGTTCTTCTATTAGACTTGTCAACACCTAGCCAAAAATGGAAATGTTGTGTCACCTCTGAAACTAAGCTATTGGATATATTTCCATACATTTCCTTGATTTCAGCATTTAACCCTGGTTGGTGTAACCAAATGCTACATAAAGTTTCTTGGGTAATATTGTTTGCTAAAACTTCAGGAAACGAGTTAATAAAATGATCCAATGCATGCTTTGACAAGATAAGCTGTCCATGATAAATTGATACATATTCTTTCAACATCATATCAAACTTGGCTCTACTTACTAACTTGCTTAAATACTTTAAAAGAAAGTAACCTTTTAAATAATGTACTTGTAAGAAGGTTTTTCCTGGGTTCAATCCATTCTTTACATAATTAATGCCATCTTTATCAACAAGATTTTCTCCTTGCATAGGCCTTAAAGTCTGAAGGTCTTCAGTGGAATTTTCTAATTCACACACAAGTGTCCTGTACCGTATATGTGCTCGAAGATCTGACAGTTCTTCCAACACCTCTTTGTTAAATTTCTGCGTGTAGTTCATTAAAGTCATGTTTGTTCTCAAACTTTGACCATCATTTTTCTTTCTCTTATCGCAAACCGAGTTTCTAGGACAACTCTTCTTGTATAATTTGATAAATTTGTCCTTAACAGTTAATTCTTGATTAATATCATTTCTCAATGTATCATGAAACCTTAAACTCTCAATATTACATTCTTTACCAGTATCATTAAACTTTTCATCATGTTTCCAACTTATTTCTAACTGGTTGTCAGTCTCTGTTAATACACCATCACTCGAATTATTACTAGTGACTTGAGATGAAACAGATTTAACTCTACCACCTCCTACTTCCCATCCTTTCTGACATGGCTCACTCTCGGAGTTTTGACACAAAGTTTCCTCTAAAACAGTGTGTCTAGCCTTTTCATGAAGTAGCACTGCTTCTGCATAGATGGAGTCCTCCATGTAAGTAGCAAATCCCTCGCTCAACCATTCCTCTGTCCAGTCCTGTGCACCAATGTTGATGCCAAACCAAGCGTGGCTGTCACAGACAATAAGCTTTGTTAATGAGTATAATATATAATATATCACGTTTAAATATCCTCAACAGTGAACATTTAAATTCTACAAAAAAAAAAAATAAATGAAATTGGACGAGAAATGAAAAAATTTTGGTGGCGCAGCCTCAATACCCCTTAAAATGAATTCTATGGTATAGCACTGCATAATAAAATTTATACATACAGTAATTTCTCAGGTAATTTTAGCCTTTACAATATGAAAATGCAGTAAACACTCGATTAGCCATTGCTAGCAGTGGTGTAATTATGTCACTGTTGATATCTGAATTGCTTATGTAACCCATTTGCAGTCTGATTTACTAAAACATTTAAGGCTCCTTAAAATGAGCATGCCAAGGTGTCATTATGTAATGTTATTCCACTGTCAGTAATAAATGATTATTTTTACAACACATGTACTGATTAGTATGTAAATCAAGATTTTTTAAAAAATCAATTAAAAAGATAACCATAAATTTTGTAAAAGGTGCTTTATTATCTCTACCCACAGCAGTATTTACAAGTCTCATGAAATTTAAATTTTAATTTTTTGTTTCTAAGGTAAACTTTGTGTTAAATATACAGTACAGTATGTATATTACCAACAATGAATGCCTTTAAAAGTAACTAATTGCTTATCATCACTATCACCTAACAACTAATTGCCAGTATGTGAAATTACATGCAATTTTATATTTTACAAGAAGTACAATGCAACTTACCTTATTTCATGTGCTAAACGGATATATGCTGCAGGATCATCTCCAACAACAGTTGGTGACAAGAAGATAAGATTAGGTGATGCCAAACCCAGACTTCCAAAACATGGTGGAAGAACAACCAGCTCCAATCTGCAGCATGGATATGTGCCTAGTAGATGTACTGCAGCTTCCAATGCATAAGGAAGAAAGGAGCTCAAGGGCTTTATTAACAGAAAACTAGATGGTGGATAAACTATGGTTAATGGTGTCTTATAATTCCAAAGCATACTTTTCATGTGGCAAGGGTATTCATAGTGACAACATGAATATTTCGTATTGGCAGTTTTTTCCTCTGCTTCATTTTTAACTTTCTGTAAATTTTTAAAATACACTGTTGGAAGTACTTTTGTTTCCCATCTTCCAATTGCAATGGCTATGGTAGCAATAGGAAGAACCATTGTTGTGTAATAATAAATGCAAACAGTAGAAATATCCTCTTCAATAGTGCCTTCCCTACAAAAAGTAACAGCCTGGTTACTCTGGCCAAGAGTACAGCACTTACTTATATGCTGTAAAGTTCTTGTGTCTTCCACATAATCATTTATGGGGCCCACAAACTTGGTTGGCACATTATCTCCTGTCATGGAAACATAATATTCTTTAGGAATTGTAATCCATGCTTGCCAAGTAGCCATGGCTGATGGAGGATCCTGACAAGGGAGAAGTGAACGGTTATTTATTGCTGCCGCTGGTGTAAATACACAAGGGTTGCCATCTTGGTCATTTCTCCACAGAAGAGATTTTCCTTGAGGGGTTGTTTCATACTCAATGCACACAGCTTGAGGAAACTGTTTAACATTCTTTATACCTTCCTTCCAGATTCTGATACACCAAGCATTAACTGCATACTGTAAAGGTATGTGATTTCTTCTAGTCCAAAAATTAATTGCAATTCCACATGCTTTGCGATATGTAGGATCTAAATACTGAATAAGGTTCACTCCATTACATTCCACTTCAGTTACACACTTCACTCTGATATCACAACAGTCCAGAATAATTTCAAAATCTTGACTTTCTATGTTTTCAGTATTTTTTTTATTTTTCACACGGTTATCGTCACTGTTATCACAATGGAACTTAGCAGCATTTTTTGTTTTTTCCTCCAATACAATGCTCTCATTATCCTTGCCATGATAGTTTAAATGTTGGTTGATATGCACAGAAGCATTTTCTACGTCCTGTACTTCAGTGTCTGAACAGAAACATTTCCGCGTACAACACTGTCCTTTTTTCTCACAGGATGTAGTTGCCTCGAAAAATATATAAACTCTTCCTTGAATTTTCTCTGTGTTAAAATTGGGCTCTAAATGAATGAGATAGTGTCTAGCTCTAACCTCATAAATATTTGACAAAAGTGGCAAATCCTGATCACACATGCTCTTACTGAAATATTGGTGTACTTATATACAAATACACTGGTATACATTTATTACAAGTGAATTTAAATTTGAAGTTTATGCTATAAGACTCTTTCTCATTAATAATTTTTCAAAAGTTTCAACATCAAACATTTTCTTGTGCTATTTTATGCTGCCTGAATCCTGAAATGAGATAAATCATTGATATCAGTGTAAAGAAATATATTGTATACAGTATTAAAATATTATTTAACTGCTGTGCTAAATTAGCATATACAATACAGTATTACCTTGGGAAAGGCACTGAGGAAATCACATTTACTGATACAAAATACATATCTACAACTGGACGTTTCTCTATGAAAATACATAATTATGAAAAATAAAAGTAGAGACGTACAAGAAGAGCCATGGTCATTCAAAAAATATACATATTCTATCTTATTACACTCATTTCCTCCCTAAAGTCTAAAAATGTGAAGCCAGTAAAATTTATAAAGTGTTGGTATCAATGGTCTTTCAGCATTCAATACAATGAAAAGTTCATGCTACCCCAACATGCATTACCACGAGCACACATTAAAAATATCCAATAATTAAACACTATTTGCACTGACAGACACAGTAAAACAATTAATATTAGAACTCATAAAAAAAAGATTACCAATTCTAGCATATTTCACATTAAACAGGCATAAACTGGTCTATGCTAAAAGAATTACAGTATTTACAAGTTCAGTTTATGCCCTGGCAGAAGCCCCAGTGGTTATAAAAAACCACACTGAAATCTAAAAAGCTGTGGCTATGCACTAACAAATTATGAGGACCCCAATGAAAATAAGTCTGACTTTTTTTGGGGGTTATCCTAGGTAATCTACACATGTGCTGCTATGTATGATAATTTATGTAATTGTATTTGTGTGTACCTGTACCTGAATAAACTTACTTAGTGAGCTGGAGGGAATCACAGTAACTAAAGCCAAAGATGGCTGACCAAGAGGGTGTATACGTACTATATGCAAACATATATACTTACCATTTTTCTTAACTTTAAACATTTTTATTTAACACATTGGCCATTTCCCACTGAGGTAGGGCGACCCGAAAAAGAAGAAACACTTTCACCATTATTCACTTCATCACTGTCCTGCAAGAGGGGTGCTGATACTCTTGCAGTTTTTGAACTATATTATCTACACACCTCTGGCAAGACAGTGATGGAGTGAGTGATGATGAAAGCATTTCTTTTTCAAGACACACTACCTTGGTGGAGAAATGACCAACGTGTTAAAATATATATAAAAAAAAAATAGTTAAAAAAATTTAAAGTTAAGAAAAATGGTTCTCTTGACAAAGAACATAATTGTAGTTTTGTGAAAATTATTTTCACTTTCAAGAATATGAACAATATTCTGGGCTATAAATTGTTAAGTTATAAATGCCAGAACACAAATTAGAAATATGTTGTACATCATGGCCCCTCAAGGAAGGTTCCTTGATGCTGGTGAGGGGCTCTTAAACTAGGGAATTGGATGTGCTTCAGTTCCCTGAATTGAGTCTGAATACCTTCCATCCCCCTCCCCACAGGCGCTGTATAATCCTAAGGGTTTAGCGCTTCCCCATGATTATAATAATAATAATGTACTTCATGCATAATAAGTGATGATTCCACAATATTTTGCTTAACTTTAGAAATACATGGAAGTAATTCTCTAGAATTTGTCCAATCTTCACAATGAACCTCTATTCATCACATGAATGAATATTGATGAATTCTTGCATTAACTACTAAACAAGAATAATAACTAATTTTTCTCTTCAGGGTAGGTTCCTTGATGATAGTGAAGGGCTCTTGATTCAAGGAACTGCTGCATCTCTCGCCATATCAAATCTGCCTCTCACTCCCCAGGCATAAATTCTACATTATTATTATTATAATCAAGGGAAAGCGCTAAACCCGTAGGATTATACAGCGCCTGGGGGGATAAGAGATAAGATAAGATTTCGTTCGGATTTTTAACCCCGGAGGGTTAGCCACCCAGGATAACCCAAGAAAGTCAGTGCGTCATCGAGGACTGTCTAACTTATTTCCATTGGGGTCCTTAATCTTGTCCCCCAGGATGCGACCCACACCAGTCGACTAACACCCAGGTACCTATTTGCTGCTAGGTGAACAGGACAATAGGTGTAAGGAAACGTGTCGGAATTTCCACCCGCCGGGAATCGAACCCGGGCCCTCCGTGTGTGAAGCGGGAGTTTTAGCCACCAGACCACCGGGGAACTGGAGCACAGATCCAATTCCCTAAATCAAGAGCCCCCCACCAACATCAAGGAACCTTCCTTGAGGGGTATAAATTCTACATTATTATTATTATGATCAAAAAGAAGCGCTAAGCCACAAGGGCTATACAGCATAAATTCTACAAATGTAGTGCTTCCCCATATTCAAAGTTCAAATTCACGTTTATTTCCACATGATACATTGTTTAAAAGAATGAGTAACGAATACCTTCAGATTATTATAATCAAAAAGAAGCGCTAAACCACAAGGGCTATACAGCAAATAATACATCCAGAAAAGCCCTGGTTATGTACAGCATTTTGGGCTCTGCTTGACTTTATTAAGTTACCCTAGGTTAAATTTTCTTTGAAGTTCTATATAAAAAACCACTGTAAAAGTTTAAAATTGTGTATGGGGCCTAAATTAAAGCTTGCATTAATGTAAAAATAATAATAATGTTGCTGATGGCAACACAACACAAACCTTATTATACATGTTGGGGTTGTAAGGTCCACTGACACCTTATGTTGTCTGCCTCTGCGAACTTTATTTAGCTACACGTACATGGATATAATAATAATAATAATAATAATAATAATAATAATAATAATAATAATAATAATAATAATAATAATAATAATAATAATAATAACAACAATAATAACAATAATAATAATAATATCTTTATTTACTACAAGTACATGTACAAGGTATACAGGTCTAGCTGACAGCAATGACACTATTATATAGAAAGTCGCTTGTTATGTAGAACATTTCGCCCAAATTAGGTCAGTTTTGTCCCAGGATGCGACCCACACCAGTCAACTAACGCCCAGGTACGTATTTTACTGATGGGTGAACATAGATAACAGGTGTACAGAAACACTCCCAATGTTTCTACCCTCGCTGGTAATCGAACGCAGACCCTCGCCGTGTGAAGCGAGAGCTTTAGCGATCAGGCTAAGTAAGTACGAGTCAAAATGACTTATTTCCATTGTGGTGGTTGAGTAGCTAGTTCATTGTGTATCTCCTGCTCATCCTGTGAGTGGTAGCACAAAGAAACAGGGTAACAAGTCACAATGGGTTCCTTAATCCTGACAGTGGAAGGGCAGGAAGTTCTGTTATCGCAAGCTGTATAGCCCTTGTGGCTTAGCGCTTCTTTTTGATTATAATAATAATAATAATCTGTTATCGCAAACCTGCCCAAATTAAGTTTGACATAAACCATACCACGGGTGGGGTTTGATCCCGCGGTCAGAGAGTCTCAAATTAAGTTTAACATCTTTATAATACACCTTATACCCATCCTGTGGGTGGTAATTAAAGAATTACAGAGGTATAAAATGAATCAAGGAACCGGGTCTCAAAGTTTGATAGCTGGACAAGTTACACTGGTAAAGAATAAGTAAGTTTATTCAGGTATACACAAATACAGTTACATAGAATTATCATACATAGCAGCATGTGTGTAGAGAACCTAGGATAACCCAAAAAAGTCAGACAGAGTGACTTATTTACGTGTTTATATCCTGTCACAATCATATTGAGTTATTTGTGCAAACATTAACTTGGCCACGCACTCACACACATACATATATATACATGGCTAAGTGTCTATCGGCAAGTGCCTTCGACGACTAGTAATACACACAAAAGAGGCCAAGTGTTTATTGACAAGTGCCTTTGACAGCTAGTAACTAACACAGTGGTAATGCTTGATTTTACAGTGAGCAAAGTCAGGGTATTTTTGCAGAATGGTTTGTATTATACCACTGTGGATAAAATACCTTGCCAAAGTGAAGACGTCCTTTGGGATTGTATACGTTTGGATATCCTCCTCTTTTCTGCAACTGCAAGCTCCTGATGCTATGTTAACTGTAACACGAAAGGCCTATAACTATCATTCTACTCCCCGTGGAGTCTATGTACTTACTTCTACTCGTGTTAAAGAGAGTTACATTACATCTTTATTTTAAATATATATATATATATATATATATATATATATATATATATATATATATATATATATATATATATATATATATATATATATATATATATATTATATATATATTATATTTAAAACAAGGGTGTAATGTAACTCTCTTTAACACGAGTAGAAGTACATAGACTCCATTAGTATTAGTAAGATCTAACAAAAAGCAAATATATATTTAAATAAGGAGGTACAAAGTGCGCAAGTCTTATATAAAGTTATTTATATCCTGCGAGGCACATTGGGAAGTGACCGGCCGTAATAAGAATATCTGCCAGGCAGTTTGAGAAAGTGATCGCCGGGTAGAAGCAGGACCGGATTTAGACCATGGGGGGGGGGGGGACACTTTAGGATTGGAGGGCCCTCAACATGGAAAATAAATTGAATTACAAATAAGAAATGAACTAAAATGAATGCTAAACAGCAGTTTTCAAATAAAAAATACGTTTCGAAGAAGACGTCTGATTATATTTTTCTCAATTTTATTGACTTTAAAAATAACTGACTATAATTTTCAGTTTGTAATATATTCCATCTACAATATATAATAATTACCGATGTGTATTTATTTATATCTTTGGTGTCACACTTTGTGTCTATCTATATGGTGGCAGTTGACCAAAAGGACACAAACTTGTCTCTGACAGGAAACCACATGGTTGGGTCTGAATCACATAGTGGTGCTTCACTGTCCATGTCTACACATGGTTTTCTCTGACAGGAAACCACATGTGGTCGAACACTGTGGTGCTTCACTGTCATGTTACACTGGTTCTCTGAAGGAAACCACATGCTGGGTCTGAATCACATAGTGGTGCTTCACTGTCCATGTCTACACATGGTTTTCTCTGACAGGAAACCACATGGCTGGGTCTGAATCACATAGTGGTGCTTCACTGTCCATGTCTACACATGGTTTTCTCTGACAGGAAACCACATGGCTGGGTCTGAATCACATAGTGGTGCTTCACTGTCCATGTCTACACATGGTTTTCTCTGACAGGAAACCACATGGCTGGGTCTGAATCACATAGTGGTGCTTCACTGTCCATGTCAACACAAGTATCTGTAGAATGTGGTTGTGGTGATTCATCACCTTTACTATCCTGATTTGGGATGTTCCTTTTATTTACTGCAGATGTACTTGAGAATGTGGGTGAGTCCTCAGAAGAAACATCATCTGGTAGTGGTATTGGTTCTTCATTAGTAGCTTCTATGTTTTCCACTATGGAAGCAGAGAAAAATTCTCTAATGCGTTTTGTCTTTGCCAAGACTGTAGCATTTCTTTCACTCGATTCTTTGGAAATCTTTTTTTTTTCTGAGCTCCTGACAACTGAATTTTCCGTGGCATACTGGGTCTTCTGAAAAAAAATATTCCGATTTTTTGACATTAAATGACAATGTAGTTAGTGACACACACACACACACACACACACACACACACACACACACACACACACACAACCAACACACACACACACACAACACAGAACCAGTTTGGAACTAACACCTGGTCATGTACGTCAAGAAATTAGAGAAGTGCAAAGGCTTGCAACAAGGCAGGTTCCAGAGCTGAGGGTAATGTCCTACGAAGAAAGGTTAAGGGAAATTGGTCTGACGACACTGGAGGACAGGAGGGTCAGGGGTGATATGATAATGACATACAAAATACTGCGTGGAATAGATAAGGTGGACAGAGACGGGATGTTCCAGAGATGGGACACAGAAACAAGGGGTCACAATTGGAAGTTGAAGACTCAGATGAGCCAAAGGGATGTTAGGAAGTATTTCTTCAGCCACAGAGTTGTTAGGAAGTGGAATAATCTGGCAAGTGATGTAGTGGAGGCAGGAACCATATATAGTTTTAAGACGAAGTACGATAAAGCTCATGGAGCAGGGAGAGAGAGGACCCAGTAGCGGTCAGTGAAGAGAAGGGGCCAGGAGCTCAGTCTCGACCCCTGCAAACACAATTAGGTGAGTACACACAGAAACACACACACACACATCCACAGTGTGTGTGTGTGTGTGTACTCACCTAATTGTGGTTGCAGGGGTCGAGACTCAGCTCCTGGCCCTGTGTGTGTGTGTGGTGTGTGAGTGTGTGTGCTCACCTAGTTGAGGCTGCAGGGGTCGAGTCTTAACTCCTGGCCCCGCCTCTTCACTGGTCGCTACTAGGTCACTCTCCCTGAACCGTGAGCTTTATCATACCTCTGCTTAAAGTTATGTATGGATCCTGCCTCCACTGCATCGCTTCCCAAACTATTCCACTTCCTGACTACTCTGTGGCTGAAGAAATACTTCCTAACATCCCTGTGATTCATCTGTGTCTTCAACTTCCAACTGTGTCCCCTTGTTGCTGTGTCCCATCTCTGGAACATTCTGTCTTTGTCCACCTTGTCAATTCCTCTCAGTATTTTGTATGTCGTTATCATGTCCCCCCTTCTCTCCTGTCCTTCAGTGTCGTCAGGTCGATTTCCCTTAACTTCTCCTCGTAGGACATCCCCCTTAGCTCTGGGACTAGTCTTGTTGCAAACCTTTGCACGTTCTCTAGTTTCTTTACATGCTTGGCTAGGTGTGGGTTTCAAACTGGTGCCGCATACTCCAATATGGGCCTAACGTACACAGTGTACAGGGTCCTGAACGCTTCCTTTATTAAAAATGTCGGAATGCTGTTCTGAGGTTTGCTAGGCGCCCATATGCTGCAGCCGCTATTGGTTGATGTGCGCTTCGGGGGAATTGTGCCTGGTGTTTTACTCACTCCAAGATCTTTTTCCTTGAGCGAGGTTTGTAGTCTCTGGCCCCCCTAGATTACTCGAATCTGCAGTCTTCTTTGCCCTTCCCCAATCTTCATGACTTTGCACTTGGGGGGGTTGAACTCCAGGAGCCAATTGCTGGCCAGGTCTGCAGCCTGTCCAGATCCCTTTGTAGTTCTGCCTGGTCTTCGATCCAATGAATTCTTCTCATCAACTTCACGTCATCTGCAGAGACACTTCGGAGACTATTCCTTCCGTCATGTCGTTCACAAATACCAGAAACAACACTGGTCCTAGGACTGACCCCTGTGGGACCCCACTGGTCACAGGCGCCCACTCTGACACCTCGCCACGTACCATGACTCGCTGCTGTCTTCCTGACAAGTATTCACTGATCCATTGTAGTGCCTTCCCTGTTATCCCTGCTTGGTCCTCAAGTTTTTGCACTAATCTCTTGTGTGAAACTGTGTCAAACGCCTTCTTGCAGTCCAGGAAAATGCAGTCCACTCACCCCTCTCTCTCTTGTCTTACTGCTGTCACCATGTCATAGAACTCCAGCAGGTCCTACGACAAGGTCCTAAATGCACTAGAAGACAAAAAGAATGCAGATGTAATATATACAGACTTTGCAAAAGCCTTCGACAAGTGTGACCATGGCGTAATAACACACAAAATGCGTGCTAAAGGAATAACAGGAAAAGTCGGTCGAT